GGAAGGCAGCAGTCACTTTTCATCATAACCTTTTGACATCATACATTCTTGTAACCATGTGCATGCATATTTTTATTTTTAAAATCTGCAGTAGAGCAAGCAGAGTTGGTACAAAACATAAGCAGTTGAGAGATCCGAGGTTAGGCATGAGGGACGAGGGTCTGGATGAGACAGCAGGTCCAGGGAAGATCCTGGGGAAGACCAAAGCCCCTAGAGCATGGTGAGGGCCTCCCACTCTGGGGTGTGTTTGGGTGCCTGACTCAGCAGACCCCATCCCCACTGACTTGGTCCTCCCCATTGTGCTGGACACCCCCAGCCTCACACACAGGGCAGATGTCCTCATGGGTTCTAGGTTCTGGGGTCCAGGGTACTTTCCAGTTGGGTGCCTAAAACTGTCTACCAGGAGACTCCCTGGGACCAACAATGGTAGAATGCAATCCCCATGTCCCCATATCCCCCACTCTGTTGCAGCTGAGAAACAGGAGGTGAAGGAATACCCAGCTGCACCCAGAGATAGGCCAGGACACTTGAGACACAGGGGAGCCCCAGACTGGGGAGCTTTCTCAGTAGTGGCACTGCTGACATTTTGGCCAGCTCATTCTCCATGGTGGGGGCTATACAAAATTGTGTAGCATCTAGGCCTCCACTCATTCCAGTCATGATACCCAAAAATATTTCCAGATACACAGAGAGTCCCCCAGAGATAAGGCCATGACATAAAACATAGGGTGCTCAGTTAAATCTGGATTTCACATAGACAACAAAGAGTTTTTTAGTATAAATATATCCCAAATATGGCACAAGACATACTTATGCTAACAAAGCATCCATGGCTTGTCTCAGACATACCCAAGTGTCCTATACTTTTATTTGCTGGGGCAAAGCCACAGGAGGATAGCAGAGGTGAAAAGACATCTTTAGCCTGGCAGGTGGGCCCTGCTGGTTGGGCCCTCTAATAGGATGGCTGGCCATCAGATCTGAGTGTTTCCAACCATTTGCTCAAGAAAGTGGACTCCTGGGAGAAAAGCTGCCCTGGGGAGCCCAACTCCTTCCCTTGCTCCATCCCTCTAGGGCACTGGAGGCCTAATGGTTCTCTTCTGCTCCTCAAGGCTGGCCAGGCACATGGCCATAGCTGGCCAGCATTGTATGGCATGCAGCAAGACCACTAGCCCACAGTCCTGACCATGAGAGGACCTCATAGCCTCTCTGCCTCCACCATGAAAACAGATCAAAACCAACAGGTAGATCTCATCTGAATTTTCTTGTGGCAAAACAAATAAACAAACAACAAAGCCAGCCTCAAGGAAACACACTCATTGTCAGAATATGGAAAGAACTTGAAAAAACCAGTATTTTTTCTAAGAAAATGTAAAGACATGGCTCAGCACCTGTAGCTCAAGCAGCTAAGGCACCAGCCACATCTCTGGTGTCAGAGCTGGCAGGTTTGAATCCAGCCCAAGCCTGCCAAACAACAATGACAACTACAACCAAAAAATAGCCAGGTGTTGTGGCAGGCGCCTGTAGTCCCAGCTACTTGGGGAGTTGAGGCAAGAGAATTGCTTAAGCCCAGGAGTTGGAGGATGCTGTGAGCTGTGATGTCACAGCACTCTACCCAGAGCAATAGCTTGAGGCGCTGTCTCAAAAAAGAAAGAAAGAAAGAAAAGAAAATGAAAAGACAGGCCACAGCATTGGAGACAATGGAGGCAAAGGCCACATATGACACAGGACCATCATACAAAATAAGACGTCTTAAAACTTGACAATGAGAAAACAACCCAAGGTTTAGCGCCTGTAGTTCAGTGGTTAGAGAGCTGACCACATACACCGGGGCTGGCAGGTTCAAACCTGGCCCAGGCCTGCTGAACAGCAATGACAACTACAACAAAAAATAGCCAGGCATTGTGGCAGACACCTGTAGTCCCAGCTACTTGGGAGGCTGAGGCAAGAGAATCACTTAAGCCCAAGAATTTGAGGTTGCTGT